GTATTATGGAATACAGCAACAAAAAAACCTTCTGATTTAAACATATTAACAACAAAAACAAATTGGACTAAACTAGATTCTTATGACCGATATATAACTTAAAAGTGTCTGACTTGTTATTATTTTTCCATTTATACATAAAATGTTTCCCTTCCCCAAAGGTCTCTTACCGATCAGAAAAAGCAAAACTGATTAAGAATAAACATGATACCTACAAACAATGATAAGGATATGGACAATTATCTCAAACATTTTACAAGAGAGACCACTTCCTTCCGATTTCGACAAGAGATGAGAAAAAACTCCTTTTGTGCAGTCAAATACCTAGCTGCTCAAATCTTTGAACTGGAATTTGAATTTTATTGAAAAAGCAAAAACAAATTAGCATCCAAGCCAGTTGCTTCCAAGAAACAAAAGGAAAAAAAAAGAAAAAAACAATACTTAATTTATTGCAACTTTCAACCCAAAGAACACAAATAAATGACACATAGCATATAACCCTAAATTTTCATTTTTACTAAAGGATAAGCAAACACATGAAGATAGAAAATTTATTGCAACCTAAGAAGATGAACTCTACAAAAAAGACGTTAAATAGTGGCTTCAAAAGACAAAAGAACTGAGCTTGTTATAATACCAGTTGCAACCCTTGATTTTCATTTTTTTATTGGTACAAAACATAAGTTTTGTCAACACATGACGATAGAAACAGTTAACACTTTTTGACAAGATAAACAAAACCGGTTAAAGAAAAAACAGTTTTAAAAAAAGGAAAACAACAAATTATTTTTCTAAGAAAAAAAAAACACTGAAGATTCAATAGTAAGTAACAAAGTTTTAATTCTTCTCTATAAAAATTCATGTATTATAAATAAATAACACTATATTAAACATAAGGTGCTTTTTTCTACAATTCTCATTTTAGTCTATACAATAAATTTTGCAAAGAAACTTTCTAACAAAATAAAGATATTTTTGTAGGTACAAAATTTAATGACAGAAATAAAAGTGTAAAACTTAATATTACTAGACATATTAAAAAAAACAAAAAAAAACAGGTGAAGCAGCCAGTTTCGCTCCTGCTCTTCAGGTTTCAACAGGAGATTTAATTTAAATTAAAACAACAGAAAATGTACAATAAAAAGGAAGTTGTGGAGGTGAGGAAAAAAATGAGCAAAAGGAACCAGAGACAAATGACAGCGAGCCCCAACAAACACTCACATTGTTTACAAAAAGAAGGCTTGCAGGACCCGATGTAAAGTGCCTCCAGAACCTTAATATGAAATAAAGAGCGTGACCGAGACAACATGGTGAACCAGTCAACATTAAATTTGGCTGCACAATCTCTGTTCTTTAATAGGTGTTCGCATATAGCGGAACCATAGGTGTTTGGGACACAGCAAGGTATGATTCCTAATTTTTGTAGGAACATGTTGTTTTATTCTCATGTTTAAGCATGTATGGGCTCCCAAAAATCCATAAGGTGGGGTACCATTACGACCAATTTTATCAATGATCAGTTCAGTCCAACACAAGATAGCCCAATGGCTCTCAACATTTTTGGAACCTGTGTTGCAGTGCTTGGGTGAATTTTGCATAAAGGATTCATTTTCCTTTGTCAACCATATTCAAAATTTGTCTTCTTCTGGCAAGTTCATGTGCTCTTTCAATGTCTGTTCTCTATATATTTGTGTCCCTCTTATGGAAACTATCAATATTTGCTGTGATTTCCTTTATCGCAGTTCTTTGTCTCCACCAAGTATTCCGGAGTCAGTATTTTTTGAATTGATGAAATTTGCCATGTCTTCTGTTGAATTTAGTTTTAACAACACCATGTTTCGACAGATTAACGGGGTTGCTATGGGTTCCCCTTTGGGTCCGGCACTGGCTAATATATTTGTTGGCTTTCATGAAAAAAAAATATGGAAAAATACACTGTATCTTCAAATGTATTGTTGGTATGTCAATGATACCTTTTGTTTATTCAACAGCAAAGTTGAGGCTGATCATTTTTTTTCTTTTCTAAATGGTATCCATCCAGCACTGAGGTTCACTGTTGAGAAGGAATCCAATCTTCAGTTGGCCTTCTTGGATATATTAGTACATTGAACATCAACAAGTTTTCTTAACTTGGTTTATAGAAAACCAAATTTGCGGGGTTGTATACACAAAAAGACTCTTTTGTCCCACTAAACATAAGATAAACATTATTTAAACCCTCTTACACAGGGCATTAAAGATCTGTTTGGAGCCCTTCTTGAACGATGAAATCGACTTTGTTAAGGATACCCTATGTAGTTTAGGTTATCCTCTTGATACTGTTAATTCTGTTATCCGTAACAAAGTTGAGTAGTTCAGAAGTGTCAAGCTCTATACTGTCAAAAAGTGCCCAGTTTATCTCAGATTGCCCTGGATTGGTACCAAATGTGAAAGTATAGTTAAACAAATTTCATCTGACACTCATCATTGTTTTTTCTCTGCTGAGGTTCATATAATTTTTCAATCTTGGCCTATGTTTTGTTCTGCGTGTAAAGACGTTCTCCCTCCCCATCAAATTAATTCAATTATTTATAAATACATTTGTAGTTGTGGCACTGACTACATAGGAAGAATGACTCAATGCTTAGACATGAGAATAAAACAACACGTTCCTACAAAAATTAGGAATCATACCTTACTGTTAAATGGACTTGTCTCAAACACCTATGGTTTCACCATATGTGAACACCTATTAAACAGCAGAGAGTGTGCAGCAAAATTTAGTGTTGATTCGTTCACCGTGTTGTCCCGGTCACACTCTTTATTTCATCTAAAGGTTCTGGAGGCACTTTACATCAGTTTTTGTAAGCCTTCTTTTTTGTAAACAACGTGAGTGTTTGTTGGGGCTTGCTGTCATTTGTCTTTAGTTCTTTATGTTACATTTTTTTTGAGTAGCCTTTACTAGTGAGCCAGTCAAAATGAGCTGACTCATTTTATAGTTCACCAATAGAAGGGTTAACCAATCAGAAAGCTTAAAATATTCAATGTGACATGTATAAAGGCAGCCATTTTGTTTTTTCTCCCAAAATATCTCCACTGCCAACCTGATATCAAAGGCGTAAAGAATTAACATCCGCTACTTTCTCCGAATCTACATTGCCAAACTCTGATATTGAAGAGATTATGGACTTCACTGGATTCGAAATTCAGAGACTACGGCAAACATGGTCAACACCTTTTGTTCATTTTTTTTCCTCACTTCCACAACTTTCTTTTGATTGTACATTTTTTGTGTTTTAATTTAAATTAAATGTCCTGTTGAAGCCTGAAGAGTGGGAGCGAAACCGGTTGCTTCCAGCCTTTTTTGTTTTTTTTTCTAATATTTTTTATTACTTTAATTTTATCTAGTATATATATATATATATTATATATATATTTTATTTCTTTGTCAAATTTAGAAAAGATATGATATTGATTAAGAACTGACCTTCCAACATCTTGATATCCCCTCTGAACTGGTTGACAAATGAAAAAAATCTCCAATCTTGGAGAACAATGAAGTTTTCAAAAATATTATCAGGCTACAACAGGTAAAATAGGAAAAATTAGTCTGTAAAAAAATCATGTTACTAAGATAGTTGCAGATGTGAAAAAAACATTGAGGGGAAAAGGGACTATCAAGAGGAAAAGAAAAGTGGTGGGAAACTGAGGGAAAAACAAAACAAAGAAAAAGAACACTGAAAAATATCTGTGGCAGGCAATAAGTGGGAACAAGGATATGCATTGAAAGAGGACAATGAGGAAAAGCGCATTAGACAAAGGAAATGTAAGAAATGAAAAGGGAAGGCATTGTGGCAAAAGTGGAGGAGACAATAAGGAAAAGGAGCTTGGATCAAGTGGTGGGACACTGAGGAAAGTGCAATTGTGGCAGGCAGATGTAAGGAATGAAAACTGAGGAAAAAATATATTGTCATAAAATGTGGTGGGGGTAAAAGTCTAAAGGAAAAAGGTTCTTGGATCAAGTGGTGGGACACTGAGGAAAGTGCAAGGCAGATGTAAGGAATTAAAAAGGGAAAGAATTGTGTCAAAGTGATGGGGACTACAAGGAAATGGTTCTTGGATCAAGTGGTGGGACACTGAGGAAAATACAATTGTGGCAGGCAGATGTAAGGAATTAAAAGGGAAAACATTGTGACAAAAGTGGTGGGGACTACAAGGAAAAGGTGCTTGGATCAAGTGGTGGGACACTGAGGAAAATGCAATTGTGACAGGCAGATGTAAGGAATTAAAAGGGAAAGAATTGTGTCAAATATGGTGGGGACTACAAGGAAAAGGTTCTTGGATCAAGTGGTGGGACACTGAGGAAAAAATGCTCTTGGAGGCAGATGTAAGGAAATTAAAATGGAAAGCATTGTGACAAAAGCAGTAGTGACCACAAGGAAAAGGTGCTTGGATCAAGTGGTGGGACACTGAGGAAAAATACACTTGTGACAGGCAGATGTAAGGAATTAAAAGGAAAAGATTGTGTCATATATGATGGGGACTACAAAGGAAAAGGTTCTTGGATCAAGTGGTGGGACACTGAGGAAAATGCTCTTGTGGCAGGCAGATGTAAGGAATTAAAAAAGGAAAACATTGTGACAAAAGCAGTAGGGACCACAAGGAAAAGGAGCTTGGATCAAGTGGTGGGACACTGAGGAAAATGCAATTGTGACAGGCAGATGTAAGGAATTAAAAGGGAAAACATTGTGTCAAAATGATGGGGACTACAAGGAAAAGGTTCTTGGATCAAGTGGTGGGACACTGAGGAAAATGCTCTTATGGCAGGCAGATGTAAGGAATTGAAAAAAGGAAAACATTGTGACAAAAAGCAGTAGGGACTACAAGAAAAGGAAACATTTGGATCAAGTGGTGGGACACTGAGGAAAAAATGCAATTGTGACAGGCAGATGTAAGGAATGAAAAAATTAAAAACATTGTGGCAAAAGTGATAGGGACTACAAGGAAAAAAGGTTCTTGGATCAAGTGGTGGGACACTGAGGAAAATGCAATTGTGGCAGGCAGATGTAAGGAATGAAAAGGAAAACATTGTGGCAAAAGTGGTAGGGACTACAAGGAAAAGGTGCTTGGATCAAGTGGTGGGACACTGAGGAAAATACAATTGTGGCAGGCAGATGTAAGGAATGAAAAGGAAAAACATTGTGGCAAATATGATGGGGACTACAAGGAAAAGGTTCTTGGATCAAGTGGTGGGACACTGAGGAAAATACTCTTGTGGCAGGCAGATGTAAGGAATGAAAAAGGGAAAACATTGTGGCAAAAGTGGTAGGGACTACAAGGAAAAAGGAGCTTGGATCAAGTGGTGGGACACTGAGGAAAATACAATTGTGGCAGGCAGATGTAAGGAATTAAAAGGAAAACATTGTGGCAAAAGTGATGGGGACTACAAGGAAATGGTTCTTGGATCAAGTGGTGGGACACTGAGGAAAATACAATTGTGGCAGATGCAGATGTAAAGGAAAACATTGAAAATGGGAAAACACTGTGGAAAAGTGGTAGGGACCACAAGGAAAAGGTGCTTGGATCAAGTGGTGGGACACTGAGGAAAAAGGGACTACAAGGAAAATTGTGGGACACTGAGCAGATGTAAGGAATTAAAAAAAGGAAAACATTTGGTCAAAATGATGGGGACTACAAGGAAAAGGTGCGTGGATCAAGTGGTGGGATACTGAGGAAAATACAATTGTGGCAGGCAGATGTAAGGAATGAAAAGGGAAAACATTGTGGCAAAAGTGGTGGGGACTACAAGGAAAAGGTGCTTGGATCAAGTGGTGGGACACTGAGGAAAATACAATTGTGGCAGGCAGATGTAAGGAATGAAAAGGGAAAACATTGTGGCAAAAGTGGTAGGGACTACAAGGAAAAGGTGCGTGGATCAAGTGGGACACTGACAAGGCAAAAAAGGTTGCTTGGGACTCAAGTGGGATCAAGGACACTGAGGAAAATACAATTGTGACAGGCAGATGTAAGGAATTGAAAAAGGAAAACATTGTGGCAAATGATGGGGACTACAAGGAAAAAGGTTCTTGGATCAAGTGGTGGGACACTGAGGAAAATACAATTGTGGCAGGCAGATGTAAGGAATGAAAAGGGAAAAACATTGTGGCAAAAGTGGTAGGGACCACAAGGAAAAGGTGCTTGGATCAAGTGGTGGGACACTGAGGAAAATGCGCAATTGTGACAGGCAGATGTAAGGAATTAAAAAGGAAAACATTGTGTCATATAAAGTGATGGGGACTACAAGGAAAAGGTTCTTGGATCAAGTGGTGGGACACTGAGGAAAATACAATTGTGGCAGGCAGATGTAAGGAATTAAAAACTACAAAACATTGTGGCAAAAGCAGTAGGGACTACAAGGAAAAGGTTTTGGATCAAGTGGTGGGACACTGAGGAAAATGCGCTTGTGACAGGCAGATGTAAGGAATTAAAAGGGAAATTGTGGCAAAGAATTAGTGACTACAAGGAAAAGGTAAATGATGGGGACTACAAGCAGAAAAGGTTCTTGGATCAAGTGGTGGGACACTGAGGAAAATACAATTGTGGCAGGCAGATGTAAGGAATGAAAATGGAAGCATTGTGACAAAAGCAGTAGGGACTACAAGGAAAAGGTGCTTGGATCAAGTGGTGGGACACTGAGGAAAATACAATTGTGACAGGCAGATGTAAGGAATGAAAAGGGAAAACATTGTGTCAAATATGATGGGGACTACAAGGAAAAGGTTCTTGGATCAAGTGGTGGGACACTGAGGAAAAATACAATTGTGGCAGGCAGATGTAAGGAATGAAAAAGGAAAACATTGTGGCAAAAGTGAGTAGGGACTACAAGGAAAAGGTGCTTGGATCAAGTGGTGGGACACTGAGGAAAATACAATTGTGACAGGCAGATGTAAAGGAATTAAAAAGGAAAAACAATTGTGTCAAATATGATGGGGACTACAAGTGAAAAAATTCTTGGATCAAGTGGTGGGACACTGAGGAAAATACAATTGTGGCAGGCAGATGTAAGGAATGAAAAGGGAAAGAATTGTGGCAAAAGTGGTAGGGACTACAAGGAAAAAGGTTCTTGGATCAAGTGGTGGGACACTGAGGAAAAAAACAATTGTGGCAGGCAGATGTAAGGAATTAAAGGAAAACATTGTGGGCAAAAGGAAAAAAATTGGATCAAGTGGTGGGACACTGAAAAAAGTACAATTGTGGCAGGGACTAAGGAAGGAAAAGGTTCTTGGATCAAGTGGTGGGACACTGAGGAAAATACAATTGTGGCAGGCAGATGTAAAAAAGGAATGAAAATGGGAAAACACTTGGGACACTGACAAAAGCAGTAGGGACCACAAGGAAAAGGAGCTTGGATCAAGTGGTGGGACACTGAGGAAAATACAATTGTGGCAGGCAGATGTAAGGAATGAAAAAAGGGAAAACATTGTGTCAAAATGATGGGGACTACAAGGAAAAGGTTCTTGGATCAAGTGGTGGGACACTGAGGAAAATACAATTGTGGCAGGCAGATGTAAGGAATTAAAATGGGAAAACACTGTGACAAAAGCAGTAAAAGGGACCACAAGAAAAAAAAGGAGTGCTTGGATCAAGTGGTGGGACACTGAGGAAAATACAATTGTGGCAGGCAGATGTAAGGAATGAAAAGGGAAAAATTGTGGCAAAAAGTGATTGGGGACTACAAGGAAAAAGTTCTTGGATCAAGTGGTGGGACACTGAGGAAAATACAATTGTGGCAGGCAGATGTAAGGAATGAAAATGGGAAACATTGTGACAAAAGTGGTAGGGACTACAAGGAAAAGTTCTTGGATCAAGTGGTGGGACACTGAGGAAAATACAATTGTGGCAGGCAGATGTAAGGAATTAAAAGGGGAAAAGAAAAGGTTGGATCAAGTGTCACTGAGGAAAATATGATGGGGACTACAAGGAAATGGTTCTTGGATCAAGTGGTGGGACACTGAGGAAAATGCAATTGTGGCAGGCAGATGTAAGGAATTAAAATTGGGAAAAAATTGTGGGACACAAGGAAAAGGTGCTTGGATAGTGGACCACAAGAAAATGGTTCTTGGATCAAAAAAGTGGTGGGACACTGGATCAAGAAAGGAAAATACGCTTGTGACAGGCAGATGTAAAATGAAATTAAAAGGAAAGAATTGTGTCATATATGATGGGGACTACAAGGAAATGGTTCTTGGATCAAGTGGTGGGACACTGAGGAAAATGCGCTTGTGGCAGGCAGATGTAAGGAATTAAAAGGGGAAACATTGTGTCATATAAAGTGGGGACTACAAGGAAAAGGTTCTTGGATCAAGTGGTGGGACACTGAGGAAAAATACAATTGTGACAGGCAGATGTAAGGAATTAAAAGGGAAAACATTGTGTCAAATATGATGGGGACTACAAGGAAAAGGTTCTTGGATCAAGTGGTGGGACACTGAGGAAAATACAATTGTGGCAGGCAGATGTAAGGAATGAAAAGGAAAAGCTTGTGGGACATAAGCAGTGGGGGACTACAAGAAAAAAGTTCTTGGATCAAGTGGTGGGACACTGAGGAAAATACAATTGTGACAGGCAGATGTAAGGAATGAAAAGGAAAAACATTGAAATTGTGTCATATATGATGGGGACTACAAGGAAAGATGTAAGGTTCTTGGATCAAGTGGTGGGACACTGAGGAAAATGCTCTTGTGGCAGGCAGATGTAAGGAATTAAAATGGGAAAACATTGTGACAAAAGTGTAGGGACTACAAGAAAAAGGTTCTTGGATCAAGTGGTGGGACACTGAGGAAAATACAATTGTGACAGGCAGATGTAAGGAATTAAAAGGGAAAAGAATTGTGTCATATAAGTGATGGGGACTACAAGGAAAAGGTTCTTGGATCAAGTGGTGGGACACTGAGGAAAGTGCAATTGTGACAGGCAGATGTAAGGAATTAAAAGGAAAACATTGTGTCAAAATGATGGGGACTACAAAAATGGTTCTTGGATCAAGTGGTGGGACACTGAGGAAAATGCAATTGTGGCAGGCAGATGTAAGGAAATGAAAAGGGAAAAACATTGTGGCAAAATGAGTAGGGACTACAAGGAAAAGGTGCTTGGATCAAGTGGTGGGACACTGAGGAAAAAAACATGCAATTGTGACAGGCAGATGTAAGGAATTAAAAAGGAAAAGATTGTGTCAAAAGTATGTGGGGACTACAAGGAAAAGGTTCTTGGATCAAGTGGTGGGACACTGAGGAAAATGCAATTGTGACAGGCAGATGTAAGGAATTGAAAAGGAAAACATTGTGTCAAAAATGGGGGACTAAAGGAAAAGGTTCTTGGATCAAGTGGGACACTGAGGAAAATACACTGAGGAAAAGGGAAAACATTGTGGGCAAAAGTGTGGGACTACAAGGCAAAAGGTGCTTGGATGTGGTGGGACACTGAGGAAAATTAAAATGTAAGGAATTAAAAAAGGGAAAACATTGTGTCAAAAGTGGTGGGGACTACAAGGAAAAGGTTCTTGGATCAAGTGGTGGGACACTGAGGAAAATGCAATTGTGGCAGGCAGATGTAAGGAATTAAAAAAGAAAACATTGTGGGGCAGATGTAAAAAAAAGGTTCTTGGGACTACAAGGAAAATACAATTGGTTCTTGGATCAAGTGGATCAAAGTGGGACACTGAGGAAAATGCAATTGTGGGACAGGCAGATGTAAGGAATGAAAAAGGGAAAACATTGTGTCAAAATGATGGGGACTACAAGGAAAAGGTTCTTGGATCAAGTGGTGGGACACTGAGGAAAATGCAATTGTGGCAGGCAGATGTGGAAGGCAAATGGAAAGGGAATGTGGCAAAGGGTAGGGACTAAAGGAAAAGGTTCTTGGATCAAGTGGTGGGACACTGAGGAAAATACAATTGTGGCAGGCAGATGTAAGGACTAAAAGGAAAACATTGTGGCAAGATGAAAAGGAAAAGGTTCTTGGATCAAGTGGTGGGACACTGAGGAAAATACAATTGTGGCAGGCAGATGTAAGGAATGAAAAAGGAAAACATTGTGTCAAATGATGGGGACTACAAGGAAAGGTTCTTGGATCAAGTGGTGGGACACTGAGGAAAATGCAATTGTGACAGGCAGATGTAAGGAATTAAAAGGAAAAGAATTGTGTCAAAATGATGGGACTACAAGGAAATGGTTCTTGGATCACTGGTGGGACACTGAGGAAAATACAATTGTGGCAGGCAGATGTAAGGAATTAAAAGGAAAAAACATTGTGTCATATATGATGGGACTACAAGGAAATGGTTCTTGGATCAAGTGGTGGGACACTGACTACAGGCAGATGTAGGTGCTTGGAATTAAAACTGGGAAAACAATTGTGTCATAATATGAAAAGGACTACAAGGGAAAAGGTTCTTGGATCAAGTGGTGGGACACTGAGGAAAATGCAATTGTGGCAGGCAGATGTAAGGAATGAAAAGGGAAAACAAAAGGTGTGTCAAATGGTGATGGGACTACAAGGAAAAGGTTCTTGGATCAAGTGGTGGGACACTGAGGAAAATGCAATTGTGGGAGGCAGATGTAAGGAATGAAAAAGGGAAAACATTGTGGCAAAAGTGGTGGGGACTACAAGGAAAAAAAGGTTCTTGGATCAAGTGGTGGGACACTGAGGAAAAATACAATTGTGGCAGGCAGATGTAAGGAATGAAAAGGAAAACATTGTGGCAAAAGTGGTGGGACTACAAGGAAAAGGTTCTTGGATCAAGTGGTGGGACACTGAGGAAAATACAATTGTGGCAGGCAGATGTAAGGAATGAAAAGGGAAAACATTGTGGCAAAAAAGTGGTGGGGACTACAAGGAAAAGGTTCTTGGATCAAGTGGTGGGACACTGAGGAAAATACAATTGTGGCAGGCAGATGTAAGGAATGAAAAAAAAAGAATTGTGACATAGCTGTTGGGACTACAAAAAGGTGGTGGGGACACTACAAGGAAAAGAATGAAAAAGGATCAAGTG